AGAGACCAGAGAGAGACCAGAGAGAGACCAGAGAGACCACAGAGACCACAGAGAGACACCAGAGAGAGACCAGAGAGAGACCAGAGAGACCACAGAGACCACAGAGAGACACCAGAGAGAGACCAGAGAGAGACCAGAGAGAGACCAGAGAGACCACAGAGACCACAGAGAGACACCAGAGAGAGACCAGACGCTGCTCCCTCTGGTGTATGAACCTATTTCTCTCGCTGCAGTTGGAGCTTCGTTCGGGTGTCTGGACTTCTTCTGCAGCGATCACGAGTTTTGTGGCACCAGTCGTTACGGCGATCCCTACTGCATGTGCCGCGCCATCTACGCCAAGCCCTTCAGGGAATCCGGTACCTACAGTAAGTGTGTGGTACCTACAGTAAGTGTGTGGTACCTACAGTAAGTGTGTGGTACCTACAGTAAGAGTGTGGTACCTACAGTAAGTGTGTGGTACCTACAGTAAGTGTGTGGTACCTACAGTAAGAGTGTGGTACCTACAGTAAGTGTGTGGTACCTACAGTAAGTGTGTGGTACCTACAGTAAGTGTGTGGTACCTACAGTAAGTGTGTGGTACCTACAGTAAGTGTATGGTACCTACAGTAAGTGTGTGGTACCTACAGTAAGTGTGTGGTACCTACAGTAAGTGTGTGGTACCTACAGTAAGAGTGTGGTACCTACAGTAAGTGTGTGGTACCTACAGTAAGTGTGTGGTACCTACAGTAAGTGTGTGGTACCTACAGTAAGTGTGTGGTACCTACAGTAAGTGTGTGGTACCTACAGTAAGTGTGTGGTACCTACAGTAAGTGTGTGGTACCTACAGTAAGTGTGTGGTACCTACAGTAAGTGTGTGGTAGAGTAGGTTTTCGATGTCAAGAAGTTTGATGAGTTTGGATGATTCCGATCACATAGGGACTGGAATCAGGGTTCTCATAGTGGTCCTATGGTCCTCAGTAGTTCTCATGGTCCTCAGTAGTCCTCATGGTCCCCAGTAGTCCTCAGTAGTCCTCAGTAGTCCTCATGGTCCTCATGGTCCTCAGTAGTCCTCAGTAGTCCTCAGTAGTCCTCATGGTCCTCAGTAGTCTTCAGTAGTCCCCATGGTCCTCATGGTCCTCAGTAGTCCTCAGTAGTCCTCATGGTCCTCAGTAGTCCTCACAGTCCTCAGTAGTCCTCAGTATTCCTCAGTAGTTCTCACGGTCCTCAGTAGTCCTCATGGTCCTCAGTAGTCCTCAGTAGTCCTCACGGTCCTCAGTAGTCCTCATTAGTCTGCATGGTCCTCAGTAGTCCTCAGTAGTCCTCATGGTCCTCAGTAGTCCTCAGTAGTCCTCATGGTCCTCAGTAGTCCTCAGTAGTCCTCAGTAGTCCTCACGGTCCTCAGTAGTCCTCAGTATTCTTCAGTAGTCCTCACGGTCCTCAGTAGTACTCATGGTCCTCAGTAGTCCTCAGTAGTCCTCATGGTCCTCAGTAGTCCTCATTAGTCCTCATGGTCCTCAGTAGTCCTCAGTAGTCCTCATGGTCCTCAGTAGTCCTCAGTAGTCCTCACGGTCCTCAGTAGTCCTCATGGTCCTCAGTAGTTCTCAGTAGTCCTCAGGAGTCCTCATGGTCCTCAGTAGTCCTCAGTAGTCCTCACGGCCCTCAGTAGTCCTCATGGTCCTCATGGTCCTCAGTAGTCTTCATGGTCCTCAGTAGGCCTCAGTAGTCCTCAGTAGTCCTCAGTGTCCTCAGTAGTCCTCAGGGTCCTCAGTAGTCCTCCTAGTCCTCAGTAGTCCTCCTAGTCCTCATGGTCCTCAGTAGTCCTTCCTGTGCCCAGCTCTCCCAGTGCATTGTGGGTTGACCTCCACATCCATCAGTCTGGTGACCTGTCTGTTGGAGGAGACGGGCTTCTCACCGCTGGAGCTGCGTCTACAGGACCCCAGCTGTGAGGGCCACATGGACCCACACACACACATGCTCACATTCAGCTACGAGCACAACAGGCCCTGCGGAGCACAAGTACAGGTACACACACACACACAAACACACACACACACGTACACACACAGACAGACAGACACACACACAGACACACACAGACACACAAATACAGACACACACACACACTCACACAGACACAAACACACACACACACACAGACAGACACACACAGATACACACATACACAGACAGACAGACAGACCACATGGTATTGTACCATAGGGAGACACCACATGGTATTGTACCATAGGAAGACACCACATGGTATTGTACCATAGGGAGACACCACATGGTATTGTACCATAGGGAAACACCACATGGTATTGTACCATAGGGAGACACCACATGGTATTGGACCATAGGGAGACACCACATGGTATTGTACCATAGGGAGACACCACATGGTATTGTACCATAGGGAAACACCACATGGTATTGTACCATAGGGAGACACCACATGGTATTGTACCATAGGGAGACACCACATGGTATTGTACCATAGGGAGACACCACATGGTATTGG